GCATGTAAGAACTCATCGAAACAAATCACATCATTACAATATCTCAACATACCATTACTAAAACTTGCTCACACTTACCATCAAATTCAACTAAAAGCAAAATTAAACAAACATCAACCAACCAACCAAGTCAAGAGTACTAAGTAGATCAGTTTAACTTAGCCCTTAGAGTTTTCACTTATCTCATTAAATACCTGGACAACTCAAAACTTTAATTTTCCTTCAAGTAAAATAAACAAAACCAAAAGTTAACAATTTTTGTCTTTAAAAGAACAAAACCCACTGTGAAATAAAAAATCACCTCATCAGCATCGAAAATATTGAGATATAAACTTTAATAATACGAGTATGAGACCTTCACTTTTACTCGCGAGATTTGAAAACGAAAGATTGAAGAGTCAAATTGGAAGTTAATGAAGTACGGACTCCCACTTTGAAATTCGAAGACCTCCAAAAACCCATTTATTCGGCCAAGGAAATGAATAAAGGTTAAAATAATAAATTTTCTTGGGTCAAAATCATGAGGTCTAAAAAGTAAAAAGGTACGTATTCCAATAAAAATGCTTCAAGTTGCGCTAAATGAGTAGTTACGGAACAAGTGGCCTAATAAGATTAGCTCTTATTGACCAGGTGAAATGAATGGTTGAGAGTTAAGCTTATCAAGAGTATTAATTGACTAAGTTAAAAATATATATATGATGAAATGCATGATATCAACACTAGACTAAGTTCAATGTGACAAACTAAGGACATGTTGCTTAAAATACTCGGTAGAAAGATGAAGAGGTGTGTGTATCAATTAAAGAGAGACAAAAAGCTCATTTCTAAGTAGATATTTTGTTAAGTTATCAAAATATTTGTAAATTAGTATGTAAACAAGGAAATCGAGGCCCGTTCTAAATTCAGATAAGTTTGAAAAATGTTTTGAACCCGCTGAAACTATTAATGAACAATATTGATGACTAGGAAAATCTCAATTCAGTAAATTTAGAATTTGAATATCAGTAAATATGAAATATGGAGTGTATCGACCCTTTTTCTACAACTACTATGGCGGAAAATTAATTACCGTTACTTGACATCCTCATCGTACATGTCAACATCTATTCTTTTAATTTTAAACCATCAGACTCTAAGTGACTACGGTTGCGGAAAATCATCCGTCACACTTATGAACTGCACAAGGTTAATGTCGTTCTTGCCATATGAGATTCCAAGCTAAATAATACTTAACTTTATGTTGCTACCTCATATAGAAAATTATGGATGTCACTCTCTTTCTTTTCAAGAGTCGTGCCTCACCTCCATGCACTGCTATTGCTGCCTCGCCGTTTGGTGCCTCACTGCAACGTCCGCTTGACGTTTGTGAGTCTCCAATTAATACTAAGCAACCAGCAGCTTCTCGACATCGTGCCCGCAAGCTAGCCCACACTAATTGAGCTGCACCGAGCCTTGTCGCAAACCAACGAAGTTTCGTCACTTACTTCTGTAGCCTCTAACTATTCCCGGTGTTCATATAGTTTTCCATTGTTGTCCAATCCTCCACTACAACCTAGTTTCATGCCGCCACAACTGTTGCACCTCCAACGATCTCCGTCGAGTCCCTAACAACCACGTCGACACCAGTCTAGCAACTCTAGCTTCTATCGCAACACCACAGCATCTCCGACGCCTCCTAGAAGTTGCTTGCAGCATGCGACCGGCCTCTCCAACCTTATAGTAATGCTTAGCTTTCCCGGTGAGCATCAACCCTCGGAGCAACCTACGTGATCAAATGCTTCACAACCTTTCCCTTGGTGTTGGTTTTGTTAAATTAAAAAATCCCAATTTATATGGTTTTCTAAACTACACTTGATTTGAATATTAACTACCTAAATTGGTATTATTTGATTCTAATTGGATTTGATTTTATTGTTAAGCATTACCAATAGGCAGTTTCCTTAGTTGAATCATTTCATATATATGTTTGATAATTGGGGATTCGATCTTTCAGACTAAACATTTGGACTCTCAATTAAGTTTTTTTCTTATTTATGCGTGCTAATATTAATATCAATCATGTACATCATGTAAAATAAATGTCAAAAAGATTGCACATCATTTAGCTTAGGTTGCATTTATGCATGTTTCCTAATTCAGAAATTCATATCTTAGATGCATTAAGAATCATGTAGTAATAGCATAAACTTCATGTGGTGCATAATTAGGATTTGATATAGAGTATTTTCTAATTGGTTAAAGTCATTTTAAGCAATGTCTTACATTGAATCATATAAATAAAATACAAAAAAATAATTAGCATTGTATATTAGATCATCTTTAAAAGTCATTAGGTCATGTTAGTGTCCTAGAGTTTAGTCTTTTATTTTTATAAAATGGGAAAATAAATGTGACATCCACGATTTGAACCCTGAATCAATCAAGGAAACTGGCTAGGGAATTGGTATGTGAATCGATCCGAGGGTTGGTCATGGACCTATTGGTTTAGTCAGAACGGGTATTTAAAGAATTGGTCATGGTTTAGTCGAAGGATCGTCCACGGGTAGGCCAAGGGATTGATAGTGAAATGACTCCCCAATCATGCAAGTTGATTAGAGTGATTCGACCATAGATCGATCGCTCGACCATAAGGGTTAGCAGTGGAACGATCTCGAACAGCCAGGGATCGATGCCGCCTGGATATGTATCGGTCGCGGGTGATTTCGCTCAACCATGCACCGGTCGCGGGCGTCCATGAACCGATTCTGTTGTGTTCGATTCCACGCGGCTACATGACAACCAAGGGTCAACCATGGATCGTTGATGCTTGAACATAGATCGATCGCTAATCGGCCATAGATCGTTGCGTTAAGTCGGGTAAGCCAGGTCAAGGACCTAGTTGCTTGGTCGCAAACCAGGCTTTGTGCCGGCCGTGCAAGCCAGACCTTGTGCCAGGTCATGGACCGGCCCTTGTGCCTATCAGTCAGGCCACGAGCCGGTCCTGTGCCCGGCCGTATGCCAATCATCGTGCCTGACACTTATGCCAGGCCTTGTACCCGTCAGTACCGGCTAAAACCTGGTCCAATGTCGATCAGACTTGGCTGTAGAACAGGCATTGTGCCCGTCCGTGTGCCAATGTATATGTTCGGTCCATGTGCCAGCCCCTCGCTTGTGCATCCCGTCCAAGTGCTTGGCACTGTACCCATATAGCTCGGCACCACACCCGTGTGCCTGGCCCTATGCCTGTATGGCATGGCCGTGTGCTAAGCCTTGCGCCCGGTCAGACCCGACAGAACAGGCCTTGTGCCTGGTCAGTTTGGCTGGTCCGGCCTTGCGCCGTTCAGCCCGATCTTTGGCTAGGTGGTGTCCAATCATACTCGGACATATTTTTACACTGAATCTCGGTTCCAAATGTGATAGTCAATCATTTATGGCACTTGAAACCCCTAATTACCTTAGTTGCTTATTAAGTTAAGCCTTAGTGAAGATTTAAGGAAAATGTCCCATTAGAATTAGTAAGAACCCCAAATTATTGAGTGTCCTTGAGTAGACCGCATAGTTCACGCCTAGAAGGCTTCTTGAACAAGAGGACAAGTTGACTTAGCTAGTCAATGGCATTATTGGCAATTTCTTGGGCAAGTTGGCCAATAATGGAGTTTAGCCCTCAAGACACCAATAATGGGACTTATCTTGCAAGAACCAATAATAGAGATCATGAACCAATAATTGAGGAGTCTTGAATGAGAAGACAAAGGGATGAGAGAGGTGATTCACGCCCAAAAGGGATTTCATGGGCTAGAAGACAAATTGACAATTTCCTTTGTAAGTTGCCCAATAATTGAACTTCGCATAGAATGCACCAATGACACAAAGCCAATAATTGAGGTGTCTTGAGGAAGAATAATGGTGACAAGGTGAGTCACGCCCAAGCCAAGAGAGAGAGGACCATAGGCCATAATGAGAGCTTTAGCCATAATGACTTAGTAGGGTATAATGACCCTAGATTAGAGACTTGGAGGCCAAGTTTAAAAATGAATGGCCTTGATTGAAGCTTGTAGATGAAGATTAAAGACTTTCAAGACAACAACCATTATTAGCTTGGACTTTGGCTTATTATTCATAAAAGGGGATTGGTAGGCCATACTATAAATAGGAGTGTCCCCACTTAGTCTTCCCTTTTTCCTCACACCATCACTATCTCCCACGCCAACCCCACCATTCGACTAACCCCTTGCTCACGCCACTCTCTTCCTCTCTCACGCCACACTCCTTCTCCTTCACGCTAACCACTTTGTTGGCTTTTGTTCCCCACCATTTTTTGGGACCACTTCTTGATCTAAGTAAAGTAAGTAGATTCCCTGATCTCGGGATAGGATGTTACAATGCATTGTTGACTTGTGTCTTTACCCAAGCCAAAATAGGGACTTGCTGAGTCTAACTTTTCACTCAAACCCGGGTACTGTTCATTACAGTCTCCCTTGTTCTCTCTCGTTGTGGTGCTCGAAATACTGTTCACCCGGCTGGAATTCTTGCGATTCTGGACGTTTTGCTGGTTGGTTTCTTCTGAAAATTGGAGGATAGGATCGCCTGGTTCTCCTCCCAATCATACTCTCTGGATTCTGGTTTCGGTGCTCTCTCTGGGCCTATTGAGCAGTTCTGGTTTTTTTGCTCGATGCCACTGTACACCCGATTGGAGCTTTTGCGATTCAGGGTGTTTTGCTGGTCCGATTCTACTGGAAACTTGAGGCTAGGGTCGCCAGGTACTCCACCCAACTTACTCTCTGGGCTCTTCATTCGGTGCTCTCTCCTGGTAGGACGAACAGATCTAGTTTGGCTGGGTTTCTGGGTTTTCGCTGGAACACTTCTGTTTGGTGCTTCTACTGTGCGTAGATTTTAACTGTCTGATTTAACCTGAGCTTTGCTGTGGGTGGTCGCCTATATCTGGGTTTTTTGCTATTCGATTGTCTGCTTACTGCCTTGCCATTTGGATTGCTCATGGCACGTCTGTTTTAAAATCCGCCATGGCTGGAAATCAGAGCTTTGAGGAGGCTATTCCTCAATCGAAGGAACCTATGGGAGGGGTGGAACCTGTGCAAGGCAAGGTACTCCCTAAGCTCCCTAAGCATCCTTCTGTCGCTAATGCTGGCCCCTCGAGAGCCTTTCAGAGAAACGCCCCTTCTGTGGATATCCCTAGTGCTTCAATGGATGCTGGTAGTTTCGCTGCTAGAGGCCGTCCGTCACAGCGCACCGGTAGTCGTGGAAGAAGCAGGGGTCGATTTTCTTCCAAGTCTGGTCGGATTGAAGCTGGAAATGGGAGTAATCCCAATGTTATAGAGCCCTCGAAGCTCACTACTGGTCCTGTTGAAGCAGTGACCACAAATTCTGGTCCTCTGACTCAGGAAGGTTTGTAGCCTCATGATAGAGGTCGTAACCAAGGAAGCTCCGCTCCCAGATTGACTCGTAGAGACCCTTCTATTATTCGGGTGAATCAAGGACTGAGAGATGGTGCTGATAAGTTGGTTCAGCAACAAACACAACGTTCATGGGCTGCCATTGCAAAATCTGCAGAGAAAGGTTATTCCCTTTCTTACATTCCCCCCTCTTTGATTGATGGAAAACCTACTGTCGAAATTTCGGATGAAATCCTCCAGGACGCCGATCCTAAGTGGAAGGAATGCCTTGTTGGTTACTTTGTTGGTAAAAAATTGCCCTTCAAATTGACGGAGTCTGCTGTCAAAAATATATGGGGTACTCAAGTCGTTGATATTCTTGCTAATGGTGATGGTTTCTTTTTTTTCCATATTCCCGATGATTCGTTTCGTCGTAAAATTGTGGATGGGGGCCCCATTACCATTCTTCGGGTTCCTATGATTTTGCAACAATGGCACCCGGCAATCAAGCTAGAGAAAAATCAACATGAAACTCTACCTGTATGGGTTAGATTGAAAAACATACCTATTGCTCTTTGGTCTGCTTTGGGTATAAGTGCGGTGGCAAGTGCTATTGGTAGACCCCTTCATGTGGACATCCAAACCGAGAGAATGCGAATGATCTCTTATGCTAGGGTATGCATTGAGATTAAGGCATCACAGACCATGCTAGAGGCTGTAGAAATCATTCTGAATGGCGAAAAATGGGCAGTCTTGGTTGAATATGAATGGAGACCGATGGCGTGTCTGAAGTGCGGAACTTTTGGCCATAGATGTGCTCCGGCCATTGGTACCTCCTCTGCTGTCAATAAGGCCCCCGTGCCAGTTGGTGTTGCTGGGAATGAACCTCTTCCGGAAGGCGGCCAATGGGAAACTGTTCGTAAGAAGCAATCTGGACAGCATTCGCGGAACTTGGCCAAGTCGGCCTCTCCTGCTATAAGACCTGATCTTATCAAACCCACGTATGATGTAGCGATTTCTCAGCATTCGCTGCCTTCTGGGCGCTCTAAGACCTCAACGAGCATTGTAGCTCCTGCTTTGATTGTTGATCCTTTAGATCCTCTCCCTGATCTTGGGAAGGATGGCCATCTTGTGCCCACTGACCGTGCTTTATCTTCCTCGGCAACCTCTATAAGTTCCTCAGATTCAGATGCTGCAATTGATGGTTCGGCGAGCAATATAGGCAGTGGCTCGGAGGAGGATTCAGATCCCCCTGCCTCCCTTAGCACCCGTCGGAGAATTCCTGTGAATAAGGGTGGTATCCCTGAATCTGTTGGTCGGGATCCTGGCCTGCCTATCCCAAGTCTCGTAGGCCCTCCCACGGTGTGCTTTCAGCCCCCCCTTGGTGAACCTAATCAGGACTCTCTCCTGCTCGCCCCAATGGTGATGGATCCTGCCCTCATAAGCAGCTCGTCCGCTGCCAAGTTGGCCAAACTGAAACCTAAAAAACGGGGCGGCACAAGGAGGCGGTAATCTCTTTCCCGTTTTTATATGTTTTTTGGGGTATGGAACATTAGGGGCCTCGTTGCCCCCCTTAAACAAGCTGAGATCAGGAATTTTGTTAGATCTCACAATATCTTGTGCCTTGGCATCCTTGAGACGAAGGTTAGACCGTCTCTTTTTGAAAATATGTCCCCTAGTCTCTTACCGGGTTGGACATGGATTGCCAATTATAATTTTTCTCCTCGGGGTAGGATTTGGATCGGTTGGAAACCTCAGGAGATGGATCTGGGAGTTCTCTCTATGTCTTCCCAAGTAATTCACTACCGTGCTCATCTCTTAGCTCTGAATATGACATGTATCTTTTCGGTAGTATATGGAGAACATACCTTTATTGCTCGACGTTCTCTTTGGGAGAATCTTGTAAGATCTAGTGATCTCTCTAAGTCTGATCCTTGGTTGGTGGCAGGGGATTTTAATGCTATTCGGTGTAACTCGGATAGATTGGGTAGCTCCAATGCTTGGATTTCGGCTTTCGATGAATTTGGCATTTGCCTAGACCAGTCCAATCTGGAGGACTTGAGATATATTGGCCATAGATTCACATGGTCGACATCGTCAGGTCTCACTCGCAAACTAGGAAAAATTGATAGAGTGTTAATCAATGACCAGTGGGCCAGTACCTTCTCCTTCTCGGAGGCAAGCTTTCTAGCACCGGGTGTATCGGATCATACTCCTATGCTAATCAGAATCGCTCCTGCTATTCCGTCCAGGAAGCCATTCAAATTCTTTAATTTTTGGATGACACACCCATCTTTCTCGGATATTGTATCCCAGGTATGGAGTTCCCAAATTGCTGGCTCACCCATGTTTGTCTTGTGCCGGAAACTTCGGCTTCTCAAAGGACGCCTCAAACAACTCAACAGGGATTCTTATTCAGATATCTCTACCCGTGTTGTTCAGGCCAGGTTAGATCTTAACTCTACTCAGCAAGCTCTTTCCTCTGATCCTTTTAATCCAGGACTGGCAATCTTGGAAAAGGAACAACTTCAGGAGTTCTCCTCGCTCAGACTTCAGGAGGAAGCTTTTCTAAAACAAAAATCCAGGATTAGATGGCTTCATGATGAGGATAGGAACACGAAATATTTCCATCATTTTGTCAAGAAGAGGCAACTGCATAATCGTATCCTCTCGGTTTCTGATAATGATGGTGTTGTCCTTAATGACCCGCCTATGGTTAGTAGACATATTGTTTCCCATTTTGAGAATCTTTTCGTGGCTAACTCTACAACCATTCGGCCTTCCCCTGCGGAAATCAGCCCTGTAGTGGAGCGAGTCCTTACTGATGATCAGATACTTTTCCTCTCTCGGGAAGTCACAGATATTGAGATTCGCAACACTATGTTTTCCCTTGCTAAAGGAAAAGCTCCTGGCCCCGATGGGTTCAATGTGAATTTCTTTATTTCATCTTGGGATACGGTGGGCTCCTCTATTATTGCGGCAATCAAGGATTTCTTCCGCTCGGGCTCTTTACTGAAGGAGGTAAGCGCCACTATTCTCACACTTGTACCGAAGGTACCTAATGCCTCTTCTATGAGTGATTTTCGCCCCATCGCGTGCTGTAATACGGTTTATAAATGCATAACCAAGATTATGGCAAATAGAGTTGCATCAGTACTTCCGTCGATTGTTAGCCCTCCCCAGAATGCCTTTGTAAAAGGACGTAGGATAAGTGATAATATCCTACTTGCTCAAGAGCTTTTTGCTGGCTTCCACCATGAGCCTTACTCGCCTAAATGTGCCATTAAGGTGGATTTTCAAAAGGCCTACGATACTGTTGATTGGGTTTTTTTGGAATCGGTTCTGGAAACTTTTCGTTTTCCTCTGATGCTCATTAAACTCATTATGGAATGTGTTACATCCCCTAAATTCTCTGTAGCCATTAATGGGGAACTTCATGGCTTCTTTGCTAGTGGAAGAGGTATCCGCCAAGGGGACCCTTTGTCGCCCTATCTATTTACATTGGTCATAGAGGTACTCTCTGGAATCCTTAATGCTTAGGCTCGGCTCCCGGGCTTCAAATTTTATTGGAGGTGTAAATCTATTTGCCTTTCCGACCTCTTCTTTGCGGATGACGTCCTTCTCTTTGTGGAGGCAAATGCGACTTCAGCTACCCTTTTGAAGGAAGGCCTAACCTTGTTTTCTCGTTGGTCTGGGCTTATTCCAAATGCCAACAAAAGTGAGATGTTTATATCTGGTGGGTCGACAGAGCTCCGGGAACAGATTCGGCTTATCTTTGGCTTTAATGAAGGTACGCTCCCTTTTCGGTACCTAGGAGTGCCTGTTACTGCGTCCAGGCTAAGTAAGACTGATTGTAGCTCTCTAGTAAATTCCATTACTGCGCGAGCTCGGTCTTGGTCTCAACGTTTTCTTTCCTTTGCCGGCCGCTTACAACTTATTAAATCGGTCCTCCACTCCATTCATGTTTTCTGGGCTAGTGTCTTCACTATCCCCCTCTCTGTCTTAGTGAGGATCGAATTAATTCTAAGGCAATTCCTATGGAAGGGACCAGACCTGGGTGTTGGCGGGGCTAAAGTCCCTTGGTCCGAAGTATGCCGACCAAAAAAGGAAGGTGGCCTGGGTATACGTAGACTCATTGACTGCAACAGGGCGGCTATGCTCAAGCACATTTGGATCCTTTTCACGGACAAAGAATCTTTATGGCATAAGTGGATCCATTCCACCTTTCTCAAGAATAACAATTTCTGGGTTGCGCCTAAGCCAACCTTTTGTTCCTGGGCGTGGAAGAAAATCCTCGACCTTTGAAGGGAATACCGTTTACAGTTTAAATGGCGGATTGGGGATGGTATGTCAACATCTTTCTGGTTCGATTATTGGCATCCCAAAGGACCCCTTTATGAGCTCTTCTCTAATAGAGATATATATTGTTCTGGTATCCCCAGAAATGCCTCAGTCCAGGAATTCCTTTCCTCCGACTGGCAGCCTTCTAATATACTGCAATCTTTTAACTCTTGGTCAGATCCTATCCCTATTCTTCACGGGGAGAGGCCGGATCTTTTAATCTGGCAAGGACATTCCTCAGGTATTTTCTCGACGGCCTCGGCTTGGGAATTGATTAGGATCAAAAGCCCGAGTGTTCCATGGAGCTCGTTCATATGGGATCACAATATTGCGCCAAGGTATGGGTTTCTACTTTGGCTTATGGCTCTAGACAGGCTCCCAACTCAGATTGTGTTGCTGAATTATCGTAGAATTTCGGAAGGTCTTTGTGCATTCTGTAGATGTAGACCGGATTCTATCGATCATTTTTTTTTGGATGTGCAATCACGGGTTCCCTTGCTCTTTTCTGGGCTAGAAACTGTAATCTCTCTTAGCGCAATAGATCGTGGCAAGAGAACCTACAGTGGGCGGTCAGATCCTTAAGTGGAAATAGCTTTTGCCAGCGTATTGCTCGCTTTTCCCTTGGGGCGATTTGCCATATCATTTGGTCAGAACGTAACCATATTCTCTTCAAGAATAAACCCCTGTTTATGCCGGCTCTTCGTGCGCATCTTTCTAAGCTCGTTAGGGACAGAGGACTGTCCTTCAAGACTGTACAAGACTCCCCCCGCAACAGAACGATCCAATCTAATTGGGGCATCTCGCCTTCTATTTTTGTATAACCCCTGTGCGGTGGTTTAGATTATTGTCCTTTCGTTTCTGTGGGCTATTGTTTGGCCTTGTTTTGCAACGCTTGTGTTATTGCTTTACGTTGGCTAGTCGGTACACCCTTGCACCAGTCGGGACACACTTCTGTGTCTCTTCATGTGCGGGGTTTTTTGTGTTCGGCTATTCTTTGTAAATTGCGTTGAAAAGTTATATCAATACTTACCTTACCAAAAAAAAAAATCGGGACTTGCTAGTTGTGTGCTTGTGTACTTTGTTGTTTGTGAGACATAGTCATAAGTTGAGCACGATTCGATCGTGAAAAAGGGAACATATGTCTTGTACGCACGTTATAGCACTTGGACCGAGACTTGCTTGGCAAAGGTTCGATATTAAGGCGTATCAGATTCGAGCTAAGTACGGTATCGTTCAACGTTTGGCGTGTCAGATCAAGTCACGGGCCCTGGACCATGGCCGACATACTAGATGATTAAGGCTTATTGTCCATTATTCACACTTGCACCCACGCTTTCGGGCACTCTTGTTTGCATGGGCTACTAAAGAAAGATAAGAAATCGGTTTGCTTGATGTTTGTGATGCATGGACACACGAGAGACTAAAGCCGTCTATGATGGATTTCGAGACGTTGTCCGATGGATTTTGGATGCCCGGTGAATTCCGGATGCCCGATGAATTTTGGTTAAGAATAAATGAATCCCGTGTGTTTTGTTCTTGCATGCATCGCTTGTGTACCATGCTTGATGTTTTCTTGGTTGATGCGTGTGCCATGATAGCACATAGGCAAGGTAAATGCATCTTTGCTATTGATTTGCCATCGACACTGGGGCGGTAAGGTCGGACGCATGTCTTACGACGATTGTTTCCTCCTAACTTGAAATTAGTAAATTTACTTATTGAGTCTATGACTCACTCCCCATATTTTTCCTCAGATTTGTAGGATGGCGGCTCCGCTTGTGCACTTCGGTACCCCGATAGAATTAATAGTTGGTGTTATGGACATGATAGATGCGGAGGAAGGTAGAGCCTACCGAAAAGTCATTTCTCAAGTCATGGTTGATGAAGGACTTGACGGCCCCGTTCCTCATAAGTACAAAGCTTGGTATTTGTGGACGGAAGGCAAACTATTCGGACTCCTCCGCGGGTTCAATGGCCCTTTTGGAGGTGCCAATAGACCGGCGCCCGGAAATGCCGCAAACAGAGCCTAAGCGGTGGATTCAACTCGGGAGGGACCGAGCGTGTTTGAAGGAAACCTTTTTGGAGGAAACCACGGTAACATGGATAGGGTAACCTGACTGTGTATGTTATAGCGGATACACTTATGTGAATAGGCTCATAAGAAAAAGGGGCATGTAAAAATGTTTAGCTTGTAAAATATATGACATCATGTAAATATAAGGTTTGCTCATTGTGTGCTTGTCTTAACCGCGTTGTTTAATTGATGTTGTTATGATTGTCCCCAGTTTATGTTTCCGCTTGTTCATAATGATAAGATAGAATTGATCGGGATGTCACAAAGTGAGCCCACGGGTCACGGTAAGGGCCGAGACGTGACACAAAATCTCTCATATAGTTTAAGAATAGGGTTAATTTACGGTTGATTTTAATTCATGTCATTAGAATTCCATATAGTTATATTAAGTTATTAATATAGTTTGCATGTCATTTAGAAGCATACACGGACCATTCGTGCATGCTAGATTAGAACTCACCTAGTCATAGTATTTAAGTTAACTCATGTTTATTTTGAATAAAAGAAAAAAACCAAAAAAGAATTAATCACCATTGCATTTACAAATTATGTTTAGGTCATGCATATATTGTTTGGTTTCTACTTAACGTTTTGCATAACATTTGATGTGTTGGACAATAACAAATCTATGCTTTTAAATTGCTTAGCCGTATCAAGGTTTTTCTATCTCGCTAAGCAATTCATTTATCGCTCCGATATATTGAGCGTTAAATTCTTGTTTGTACACCTACGTGATCAACCTTCACATGTAAATGGTTTAGAATTAAAATTGACCAAGACTGCTTACAAAATATTTTTGAAATAAAGAGAAAATGTACCTAAAGGGAGTTAGATTTATCCAGCGTAATCAAGTCTTCATATCCATGAAATCTCTAGTTTGCAAAAGTAAAATGTTCCTCCATATTTTACTTAGGTTTCTAATTGACCCATAATAAATTAGTGGCAAGTCCAAAATAAATTAAATTGCATATTTAAATAATTTAAGTAAAACCCTAAAGTTGCGATTGGTATGAGCTTAGGAGAGTCTGTGCTAAGTATTTGCTTAGACTCCATATGTTTCGTGAAAAATGGTTGATTTAAAAACTATTTTCTTAAAAATGATCGCTTATATCGATTACAAAAATGAATAAACGATAAATATTTTCAATATCCATGAAAATATTTAAAAATAAATTATTATCGATAATGAAAATATTCTTCATTAATTATCTATTTCCAGTGATACAAACGATCATTTTTAGCCTTACTAGTCCATTAGTTTTCTCTTGGTAGTTCACTAGTCGCGGCAACTACATTAAAGACAAAAGTACTTTGGCTTTGTTTTCTCTTTCCTTCTCTTTCCCAATTGTCCAGCATGCAAACACTAACCCATTGGCTTTATCACGAGTCGTGACAATTGCATAATGTGTAACCCTTTTCTCTCAGTAAGAATGACTCTAACTCATTAATAGAGACTCAGGTTCCAAAGTTCTTGCAAGTTGAACTACGTGCAAATTTGAGTTGGGATAGGTAAGAGAATCTCGGGCTTTTCTCTATTCGAGATGTTTTAGACAGATCAAATTTGGGGAAATCGGAGTGAGAACCGTTGGGGAGGCCAGTTCTCCCTAACTTCTCGAATGGATTCGATGTATAGGCTTGAGCGATTATGACAAGCGATGATCTATCATTTTATTTTTTTGAGGATTCGGACCGTCACATGGAATATTTTCTTCAAACAAACCTACTCAACACAACAATCTTTCGCCTCTCACCTAGCATCCTTTTTTATTCATTCTTTCTCTTAACATTTCATACATGAAGAGTTGTAGGGGTTCATTATCCAAATCAAGAAGAAAGGTAATATTTTAGCAGGTGACAGTAATTTTTCAGCTTGTAAAATGTATGTGTTTTTGTAGAATTGCCTTGCTCACATGCACATCCCAATACTTATCACTAGAACATTATCCCTTCTATATATGTAACCACCAATCCTTTCTACTTATAGCATGTTTTGGATAGTAAGTAATGAAATGCATAAGAGTAAGGAATAAGTGCATTAGAAGTCCTAAAACTTGTTGTGAAAGTTCAACTCTTCAAATTTTTAAAAGTGCAATTAAGTACTAAAACTTTTAAAAATGCAATGCAATTATATTAACAATCTTAAAACTTGTTAAATTAGTCCAAGCAAGTCATTCCGTTAATTGTACCTTTTGAAAGTTTTAGGATATGATTATATTTTCGCTACAAGTTTTAGGACTTGATTACATTTTTTGAAAGTTTTAGTACTCGATTGCACTTTCATAAATTTCAATACTTGATTGCACTTTTTAAAAGTTTCATGACTCAATTACATTTCGTAATAAATTTTAAGATTTTCAATGTATTTGTTCCTAAGATTAAAGGCAGTAGTAATCCTCTTGGAATACCTACAAGTCTCTTTCTCTCTCTATTTCTCTACTAGGCCGAAAGCCTTTTCCTACTCGGCTTAATGGGCTAAGCAACCTTCTTAAAGTGGGCGAGTGGTTGTTGAGAGATAGAAAGAGAGAGATATTTTTAGTAATGTGTGTACATATGACGATTTTGTTAAAGAAATGTCTCTACTTTTTTTTATATAGAACTTCATTTTTTGAATTTCAAATAAGGGGTACTTTTTTTTTTGACAGATGAACATTGTAAAGTGAAAAGTAGATGGAGGGTTATTATGGAGGAAAATTGTTTCACTCCATTTATCATCCATTAGAAAAATCTAAATTCTATATATGGATATATGTAATTTGTTTAAAGGCTAATTTTAACAAATTACTACAGATAATGATTCTTTTTCCTGTGTCACCCCATTATCTCCATCCTCGTCCTCCTCCTTTGGCCCTCCCAACTCTCATGTACCAGAGCTCCCCCATCTCTCTCTCTCTCTCTCTCTCTCTCTCTCTCTCTCAAGCAGACTCACATACACATCAGATCTATATAATATGTCCTTTTAAAAGAATTTTTCTCCACTTTCACGCTACACACAAGGAATTAAACTATAGCAGTTGCTACGTAAGTAATAACTTTCGCACATCCATATATAAATTTCTTTTTGGTCAAGCATACGTATATAAATTTAGGAAATAGCAAATGATGGTTATCAAAACATCAGGTCGGTGGAAGCTTTTTTTCATTGATAAATTCAAAAAATAATGGTTTTAGAGGGACGGACACCGAAAGGAAATCTCTTCCTCAATATTAATAGTAAATGCTACGGCTTTCGGTTCTGGATTTAGGAAAGTTCATTAATTACCTATATTAAAAAATCTTAAAATTTTCGATAGGTTGAAGGTTATATCGCTTCCTATTCTCGGAAATCTATTCATCAACCTTTGCGAGATATTCTCGTCAAATCTTACATCTGATAACCGCACGCCATGATTAGAGTCAGGACGATATTAATGAGATATCTCGAGAAAAGAAAAGGGAAGGAAAAGAAAAAAAGGAAAGAGAAGGATAACTCAAAAATTCAAACCTAACCCAGCCTTGACTCTAGTCATATATTAACCCAAGGTTAGCCAATCATTTCCCCTATAAAAATGATGATGTGGGGGGTGTGAGAGATGGCCCTTAAAAAACTCAACATACCTACACAAAACACACCCTGTACAAAATACCCTCTCCACAGCCACCCCTTCAAAGAAAAAGGTCACAAAAGAGGGGACAGAGAGAGGATGGGGGGGGCAAAGTGGTGTGGGTAGTGGAATTGTAGGCCAGATGAGGTCAACAAGAAGGTGAATTGTAAGCCCCCAAAGCCCCAAAACACACACACAGGCAACAACATTCTTCTACTCCTCACTGGTACAATACAATTTCTCTCTAGATTCTCTCTCTAGTTCATATACATCTTTGTTCCCTCTATACTAGTGTGTTTGCATTGTATATTGGCAGAGTTCTAATCATTGGGTGTCTGCATCTGTTGGAAAGGCCTCTCCTTTTTCCTTATTCTTGTCAAACATGTCCCTCTGTCCTCTGTCCTGTTACTTCATTTCCCTTGTCTCCCCATTCTTAAATACCTGCAATCCACGGAACAGGGTGCGAGAAATGAGCGCGACCCGAAACTTCAACCGGGCTCACTTCTCCCGCCAAACGCACGAACACAAGCACGCATGAGTCGGTGTCATCTTCGAGTCGGTACCCTTCTGGATCTTTTGATTTGTTACCACGTTCGTCGCGCGGCTGTTTCTATTTACCGCTTTCGGCTTTCTTTGCGTTCCGGGGTTTGGTCGTTTTTTGTTCGTCTTTTGTCTTAGGTTGTTTTTTCTTGTGTGTTTGGAGTGGTGAAGAGAATGCGACAGTGTCGAACATTTTATGTGCTTCTAGGGTTTTTGAGTGAATTCGGGATTCAATGGCAGGGTGTTTGATGGTAGCTGATGGGGTTCCAGATTGCGCTGACATAAACAAGCTCCGGGTGAACGAGTTTCGCAACCATTTAGATCCCGCTTTAAGCTGTCCCGGGAACAAACCCTCTGAAGGCGAGTTCAACGTGTTTTTGCAATCGATTTCGTGGTTTTTTTTTTTTTCCAGGCGATCTGCTACTTGATCTAATGGTCTTGACCCGTCTCTGCCTCGAATGCTTGGACAGATACATTATGTTGGTTCGGAGCTATCGTAGGTGGCTTAACCTCTTCATTGCAGCATGCCGAGAAGGACCGCTATAATTCCTCTCCGGAGACTGGGTTGAGTGATTTGGTGGCTAAATTTCTAGTGCTCTGTTCAAAACTTGTCGTCTCGGCTTCAGAGTTCTCATAGGGAAAAAAAAGGTTTTTGGATTTGCTAAAGAGGTGGTAAAAGACGGCTTTGGAAGGTCAACATATCTAGTGCAGTTTAGAAGAGTTGTGCCTGCAGCGGTCATGGTGGTGGACAAGGATTTTAGAGGAAATTTCATGGAGACTTTGAATCAAAAGAATAATGACGAGGAATGCATGCCCTCTGTATTGACGTTCAAGATCAACTCTGGGGATGATGATGGCATGGGGGATGTGGACGAGACCGAGAGCATGGAGCTAGAATCCAATGGAAGCAAGATCAGTGTAGAGGATGAAGACCTGATGATTTCAGACTCGAAGGAAAGTGCGGCATGTTCTGCAGGTGGCGGAACACGAAATGAAGGCGATGCAGAGAGTGAAGTAGTGGAGGGAGATGCAGTGAATAGGAAATCCAGAGCTTCCTTCAAACGAGCTCGTGACGGTATTTACGAAGAAGATTCAGTGGGGTCGAATTGGAAAAAGAAGAGTCCAGTAGGGCAACGGGATGACGAGTCGATTGGCGTAGTTGCTGAATCAGATGGAGGCAACATATATAGCAGTCAGGGTGATTTCGTAATTCTGGATCCTGAAGTATCTGGAGAGGAATCTGCTTGTGTTGTGGACCAGAGTCCATTACGGGCAATGCTTAACTGGCTCAATGGGATTGCAAACAACCCATGTGATCCAGAAATTGGATCTTTACCAGACCTGTCCAAATGGAACCTCTATGGAAGTGACAAATTGTGGAAACAGGTTTTGTTGTCTCGGGAGGCTCTCTTATTGGATAAACACAAATCTCTGAGTGCCAAAAGATTAGTCTGGCAGGTATGTGGTTGCCAAATCTCAATGCTATTTGACTAAACCAAAAGCATCAGTCTTTGCTCTTTCATTTCCGAGTTGGGTTGGCTGATATTAATGTTTATCTTTGCACAGGCTTATTACATGGGTAGAACTAGAATTGTGCATGACTTCTATATGTATAGTATATAGCGGCGTAGGATGTATCTTGTTTTTTTAGTTCTTTTGGTGTTTGATAAATTAAGGTGCTAGTTTAATGATCACATTACGCAATGCAATTCTTTATGGAAGAAATGTTTTATCTAACTTTCATATAAAATACAATAGTTGTCAAAACTATAACTTCTATTGCGTTTAATTGAGATACAACTTCTATCGAGAAATACCACAACCAAACATGATATCTGAACTTTTTGACTCGAAGAGAGTTTTAATTGTCATTTATCGAATGCATTTTCAAGAAAATAGCATAATGAAAAAGAAAATTGTTTTTATTGTAATTTTTACGCATAAAGAAATTTGGAAACATCCTCTAAGATCAAACCGGAACTTTTTAACTCAAGAGAGTTTTAATTGTCGTTTATCAAATGCATTTTCAAGAAAATAGAATAATGACAAAGCAAATTGTTTCTATTGTAATCTTTATGCATAAAGAAAATTGGAAACCCTCTGAGATCAAACTGAAACTAAATTAGTTATAAATAATGTGCACAAAATGAGTGTAGAAAACATGAGAATGCTTAGTTGGATGATGGATGTGGGGACACTTAAGGAAAGATAGGAATTAAAAATGAATTCAACTTTGACACTCGGGCATATAGTATACTTCCTCTAACTTCATGGATGGGGTAGATGCAAGCATAATATGAATAAGAGATTGTCGATCATTGGTGATAAATCAGTTCCCCTACATTGTGTCCCGAACTATTTCCTATATTCGTTTTGTGGGGGCTTAGTTACTAGTGAGAGGAGCGGAAAATTCCTAAATCGTCTGCATAAGCTGTATCTCAGCATGTATATGCCACATATAAAGACTTCATCACTTATGCACTACTATTGTCTTGTCTAATCATTCATGTTCAATCCTAATATCTAGTATAATGTCTAGAGCTATGTTCCATGGCATAGGCACATGTAAATTAAGTAGAACATAATACATGGATGGTACTAGCCATTCACAATTAATTTTAAACCGTTTACTAGAAAAAACATTTGAATATGTCATCTTTTTCAAGTGGTAGTGTGATTATAGATAAAGGGTTCGAGATGTAGCACTTCTATACAGTAGGATCGCACAACCACAATACAAAGAATTAGTTTGTATTGGCATAGAATACTGACATGTGATATCCAATTTTAAATTGGGATAATTCCACAAAAAATCCTAATTTTTTCCCTGTGAGACACCAACACCCCAAACTCTTTGATGTCTCACCAATCCCCCATGTATACCAATGATCCAAAAATGCCTTCCATATGGCTGTTAAATATCCAACATGGCAGCATACATAGCCGTGAAAAATGTGCTGTGGCTACGCTCTTGTTCGACATGGTAGCATGAGTCCATTGCCACATCAGATCCTTTTGTCTGGCGTTGTCAACGAATGCCGTTACATTGGATTTTTAACAGTCATTATGGGCAGAAGTCTGACGAAGGTACTTTTGGGTCACCGGTACCAGTTTACGATATTGGTGAGACGATAATTTTTTTGGTATTGGTCTCCATGAGAAAAGGTTTTGGAATATTTTCTGGGACCATCTCTTTTACATATGGCTTGGGAAGTCGTGTGATGCATTGATTTTTTCAGTTACATTGGTGAATCCATCGATTTCTGGAATATTAATGGTTCAAGTTATAGGTTCGTATGAATTCAGACTTTGACTAAATTAAAAGTTGAAAATTCTAAGTGAGAAAAGATTGCATTTTAATATTAATCTCATACATCATGTAATTATAATTGGTGTTTTATTTCGTAGAAAAATCAGAGGATGCACCCAAGCTTGTATGAAGATCGTGATGGATCCGGTTATAAACTGAGAGAGAGACAGTGTGAGGAGAGTTTTCTCCTCAAAAGCAAGAAGGTGAAAAGTGGTTCAGATACTTTCTTGTCAGGATGTCATGGTTACTTGGATACTAAAGATAACATTGATAACAATATCAAGGATGGAGACTCCAGTTCCTCATCTGCAGGTTCTCTATTTGACTATCAGGGACAAGAGGAAGTACCTCTGGGTTCTGAATTTCAAGCTGAAGTGCCAGAGTGGTCTGGGGTAACTTTTGAAAGTGACTCTAAATGGCTGGGAACCCCAATTTGGCCTTTGAAAAATACACAGAGAAGATCTCTGATTGAGAGGGAACCTATGGGAAAGGGAAGACAAGATTCATGTGGATGTCAAGTTCGAGGCTCTGCTGAATGTGTTAGATTTCACATTGCCGAGAAAAGCAAAAGACTGAACCTGGAACTTGGCCCAGCTTTCCACATTTTCAAGTTTGACAAAATGGGCGAAGAAGTTAAACATTCCTGGACAAGCGAAGAGCAGGAGAAATTTGCTGCCATAGTGAGGTCAAATCCCCCTTCTCAAGGTAAGTGTTTCTGGGATCAAATGTTCAAGGATCTTCCGACCAAAAGCAGGGTTGAATTGGTGAGCTACTATTTTAATGTCTTTCTCATGCTACGAAGGAGAAACCAGAACAGTTTCACTCCCCTTAATATTGATAGTGATGACGATGAATGGGAACCTGGTTCTGTTGTTCGTGGAGTTGGCCATCAAGAGATCAGGTCGTCGGGCTCCATATTTTATTCACCAACAAAGCCACATTCTAGGTTTAGATGATGGTAAGTTTCTTCTGAAGCATACACTTTGCCGAGAGCTGCCAATCTGGTTGTTCTTCTGCAGTTCAGTGCCTCGGCAAAAATTTTCTGGAGAACAATTTTTTTCTTTTGGGTCATAGCTATGATGTATTATTACAGGATAATCATGCTTAGCTCTGGTAGAGAAAAAAAAAAGTGAAGTATTGATATATGGGTATTAGCTGTATAGCGCAAGAAGTTATGTTGCAGTCAAGTCATTTTGTTTTTCCAGCGTACAGCTCTTTAAGGTATACTTCCTGTTGATTTCTCATGACTACCAACACTGGATACAGATCTTTCTGTTTCTTCTTCTTCTGTTTTTTCAATATACTTGTTCGCTTTGTTTCTGGCCTTAGCTAGATGATGAAAGAAAGCTTTGTTAAGCAAAGTGTTGGAGACTGATATGGAAACAAGCGAATTTTCATTTCCAAATGTTTGATCTCATCTGCAGATTTCCTTCTAATTGTATAGATTCAGCAAAACACACGCCATTTGGAATTTGCTTCGCCATCAGCATTTTTATGCGTCTAGCTTGTAGCTATCGTTTCATGTTTATTATGCGGTTTCTTAATTCGATGTGAAGAGCCAAGAGCAAATCGAAGCTGTTATATGATGTGTGACAATGTTGAGCTTCAGCATGGCAGTTTGCCAAGATAAAATTCTACTCATTGCGTTGCCCTGAGTATGCTTAGAATAATCATGGATGCTTAGGCTCCGTTCGTTTGGCGGAAAATATTCTCCCGGAAAATATTTTCCGGGTTTTCCGATGTTCGGGGGGCGGAAAATGTTTTCCGTGGGAAAATATTTTCCTTCCCCCCTCACAAAATAGCCTAAGTCTACGGAAAATGACTTCCGCTTCTTCAAAAGCGGAAATCATTTTCCGGAGCTTCTTCTTCTTCTTCACTAAGGTTGCCGGCCGCCGCCGATCGCCGCCGCCGCCCCCGCCGGTCGCCGCCGCCGGTCGCCGGCGAAAAATATTTTCCAAAACTTTTTCATATTGGTTGCCGAACACCGGAAAATTATGTTCCGGGAAAATATTTTCCAAAAGGAGAATATTTTCCGCCAAACGAACGGAGCCTTAATTTAATAAGCTAATCTATGAGATTATATGTTATAGTTATGGACATTGAAAGTGTGATTATAAATTTTTATAAACTAATTAATATTAGTTTTAACTTGTATGATTTTTAAAGGGCAAAAGCCAACAAAAATCGTAAACTATGTCCACTGTGTCATTACCCTAAACTTTTTTCTGACACTAAAAATTTCAAACATGTACTTGCATTACACATTTACCTTTCGTCAAAATTTCATCAATGAAAACCGTTAAAAGTCTACCTTCATGAACACTAGAAAGCAAATGGTGTTGAAATGGTACTCATTTAGCATAAGTAAAATAAAAAAGATGTCATTATGGCTAAAAAAATATCTTACAGAATTTTGACTGAGCGTAAATATGTCTTATAAGTACAAGTTTGGGTTTTTGCGTCACAGAGGGCACAAGGTAAATATGTGTCAGTGGGCAAAGTTTGAGGTTTTTAGTGACTTTTTCCTTTTCTTAAATTATCATACGTTAAGAAAAATGTTTTTAAGTTGTCATTTCATTGAAATTTACATTGTACCAACAAATGCACTATTTTGAAAGTCTAAACTAAATTCTGTTGAAACCCTTGGTATGAAATTACAACTTGGAGATTCCAGCCGTGGTGAGTAAGATGGAAATGTTTTTTTATTTTATTACAAAAAAAAAACCAAATAGATAAATTCTAATTCCATTCCATCGCAACTGTAACGCCAGAGGTTTTCGTTTTGCCCCTTTAAAAACGTCGAAGGTTGTCACTATTCCAGTTGTCTGACATGCGCTGCAACGAAGACATTTAGCTCGAGATGATGTAAAAGTTCAGGTGTGACGAGACTCGTTGAATGGCCTCATATTCCTAAAAGTCTCAAGAAGCATGCAAAGGCATTGTATCAGCACTGGCATATAAAAAGACAAAGGAAGAGTTTGTCCTATGCAATGTGATCTCATAACTCATGTACAGATTTCTTGCAGACCCGGCTGTCCATCCAACGCAGTCAAATGAGTCAGGAGGGAAGTGAAACTTTCCTATCAGGTGTACATACAAAAGGGAGATAAATCTTCTTACTCTATTCTGCCCCTTCTTTACCGCGTCCGCACATATCAATCTGCGCACGAGAAAATATAATTCGAGGATCAAAGGCCTACACTAAGCTATCCATGGGCGGTGGTCACCTCTCTCCCATGGGGTTGAACAATGGCTGTGAATTTTCCATCACACCACAAAACAGCACAAAAAAAATCACAAATGGCTCGGCCGCCTTCTGCCGGAATCTGTTCTCAACCTCTTCACTGGATTGGCCCAACCAACGTCCCCACCGCTGCTATTAGACGGCTGGCCCGAGTTATTGATCCACCCTTGCTGATGGAGGGTCTGTTGAGTTGATTTTGCATCCTTCAGAGCTGATGGACCAGGACTCCTAATACCACGAGCCACTGCAGCAGGTGAAACAGGAACAGATGATCCAGTCCTAGATTTTACCACCACTTTCTCTCGGTCCTTCCTCTTCTTCTTGCAGATGACCAAGTCCCCTGGGTGAGCAAGCAGTGGAGAATCATCACGCTGAGACTGTTCCCGGGTGTTGAAGTTTCCACTGGCCATGCCAGTTTCCTTTGGATGCAAGCTGACTCTGATCCTAGTGTCTTCTCCGCGTCGCACTGGCTTAAGGGCAGGGTCTTTATCAGCATCGACCTCATTTATAGCCCTGTGTCTCTTGCTTTGGCCAGCGGATGGCTGTTTCGGTGATGGAGCAGATTGGGATGCAGCACCGGGGCCCGAGAAAGATAAAGCATTTCTCACTTCTTCAAAATCTGTGTCTGGAAATGCAATCTTTAATATGTCAAAGAAGAGATCATGAACTTTTCTCGCTTCAGATCTAACCTGCAAAAATGCAATGAAAACCTGAGATTCTGTTTGTAGCAAATAAAAGAAGCAACAAGTAGAGCATTCAATTGAAGATTAATACAGGTGCATGAGAGTTAGTATTCACAAATAAATTGACCACATAGAAGTTAAAAATTTAGCTTTAGAAAGCTTCAGATCTGAGTACTGAACTCCCATAACGAAGTACTGATCAGTATTATCCTTACTTCCATGCTATTGATAAGTTCGTGTGAAGCTGATAAATAGCCACTGAACTGAGTCTAAGATGAAGTCAATACTTTAAAGGTGCACAAAATTTCTGTCAATCAATTATTTGATGCAATGTCTACGTAAGTGCAATTTCAAAATCCCTTTAGCAAAAATAAAAAGTGCAAAGTAAAATCCACGACTCAACTCCGCCTATATTAAAACAGAAAAAATCACAATAAACACAGTCCATCAAACAAAATCTTCAATCCAAATTATAATTGTGCGGTTCCAGCAAGTACCCCAGCAATCTCAAAGGCATAAATCAAGCTCAAATGATTATCTGGATTGGCAAGATCAGGATCATTTGTTTAATACATCAGATCTACACAATTATACACCATACCTCATGAGAAAACCCATAGAACTGCATGGCACCTTTTAACATCAGTTGCACGTCAAGCACAAGATCCATCACATCAGCATACTCCAATTTCTCAATGCGCTGATCAATTTTCCGCAAATCCAAAAGGTTACTTCCAACAACACCCATATGACCAGGACTTCCCATCCTCTTCCAAAGATCAGTTAGCAGCGGAACAATGTGATGCCCTTCCTTATCTATCCTCCTCTGGAGCTTGCTTACTACATTCTTGCACTAAAAATATATATATATGTTGAGTCAATCACAGAAAGATGAATGAAATCAAACAGCATGAACCAATAAGACAAAAAGTTCCGGTGTCACATGCATGTGTAAGAGAAGCTCAATATATCCATCGCTTGTGGATCCCCATGACACAAGATTCCCAGTATGGAATCATAGGACTAGGGCAAGGACTCAAGACCATGACAAAACAACTGCCCCACCCCCCCTCCCCCCTCTACCCAGAAAGGAAAAGAGAGAAAACGAAGAAATAGAAGACACTAACTAAATACCTTTCTCTGAATGATTTCAGATAAACCGGCACCAACACTAGAATTTCCAGAGGGATTTGCAACTCTGCCATTCCAGTTTTCTCTCAAGCGTTCCGCAGCAGTATCTGATGACGAAATTTGATTTGATCTGCTAGATTTTGGCAAGGAATGTAGCTTTGATGGTTCACTTATTCTCCGTAGAGATGTTTGTCTCCTACTTTTCATGGATGGACCACCATGACCATGCTTGGGAGCAGTAGGTTCTCCAAATGGACTGGTCTCAGATGCAGTCCTTGACTGGGGTTGATACTTGTGGTCCATTTGGAGTGGCAAGAAAGCAGAATCTCCACATTGTACAGGTAGTGCCCCATTGCTAGACTTTTCCTCTGGCCTTTCCATAGTGTGACGAGGGCGCATCCTGAGACTGCGCTTCCGCTTGATCTTGGGCTGCAAGACCTGCTCATCTTCACCTTCTTCACGTTCATGAACCCAACTTTCAGATTGTTGATGATCCATGTGAGAATCTCCAGACAGAGCAATTTCTCCCTCTTCAAGTTCGTCAGGCTGGCAAACATCAACAGATTGAAATTTGAAGTAAACCAAAACAACTTTCTCAAAAAACATGACAATCACAAAGAAAAAGAAGAAAAATCTGGGAAACAGTACAGACCATCCTTCTTGAAAGAGAACTTGGCCTGGAATCTAATGCAGACAAAGATCCAAATTTCTGTGAAGAAACAGAAGGAGATGCCGTCCTGATTCCTCTCTGACTGTCTGCCGATGATCCGGAGAAACCGGCTTCTTCAGGCAAATGATTGTTCCTAGTCCTCTCTGATGTCGATGGATACTCATCACCTTCTTCAGCCGGAACATCCTCATCAGATTGGTCTTTGTTGATTGGTAGTGCCCCAGGAGCACCACTGTAAGTGTCCTCCTCAAACTCCTCAATCTCTCCCTCTTCTTCACGTGTAGAATACCGATTTTGCTCATCTGAACTTGCTTCAGAATATTCTTCATTGTCATCATCTAGTTCCTTGTAATTAGGATGCTTTTTACTCTTGGGCCGCCCCCTCTTTCTCACTGATTCAGATCCCGGCTCATTGGGTTCCGTTATTGTGCCAGCAAACAAAGCATTTTTCGATGGCTTCTTTGATAGAGTGGCAATAGCAGCATTGACCTCTTTTGTACTTGCCCGAAGCCATTTTGGCACTCGTTCATAATTGGTCATCTCCTCCGTCCAATCCAGTTCTTCATCCATCTGATCAAATAGCTCGACTTCTTCTTCACT